AAAAGAGCCAGAGAGAACAAGATCTTCATCAGATAACAGGAAGGCTGAACATTGTTCAGGAAACTTACTGTATTCATCATTTTTGGGATTTCCATATTTGTCTGTCACGGATTATGCTTCACAATGTGAAGTTTTTGTGAATGCACAAAAAGTGAAAAGTTGCTCTTTTAGTAATGCTAGCAGTCCTAACCATGTTAAATACTAATAACTTAAAGAAACTTTACAATATTATATCATAGTCATTGTTCCTTCATTTCACAATAGTAAAACCCTACCTTGAAAAACAAATTCAGCCCCCAGTTTGACATTTTTCTTTATGCAGAGGGTCTGAACACTTGACTAGTGAGAAACCATTGCTTCCTATGGGTGAAAACTATTGAAGTAAACATTTTAAACAAATGTATCTGATTTTACCCAATCTCTAATGTTTGGAGATGAAATATGTAATGTGCCAGCTTGTTCGTGAAGAAAGCTACGCTATGAAGCTTACCGGAAATTTCATGCACTGCATACAACTGCGAAGAGAGAAGCTCCAACTTTAGTTGCTCAATATTTGGATGACCAACACACACTGAACGACTTTGTTCACTTTATCTGCTGCCGATGCTAAACTACAATCATAAGCAAACTAAGATTCAAAAACAGAGGAGAAACTTGACATCATCGCTCACAACTCCTCCTTTTGTTCGCTGATTGGCCAGGACGAAACACATCCTGAGTACTTAAGCTCAATAGGAGAAGTCCCAGATGGAAAATTGCAAATGAAGACAACAGTCAGGACAGTAAAGCCCTGTTTTACAGAAACTGTAATTAATAAACACTTAGTATGAAAGGCTGTAAAAAGACATTTTGAATAATGTGCTTATATCTTACATTATGGTTATTTTCTTATTTTTGTATTGTAATTAGTCAAAATCAGTATTGGTAGGCCCATTCCTTGAAAGAAAAAAACTTTCTGATCTGTATATCTGAAATGAGTCCACCTCTATTTGGTCTAATTAGTAAAGGCACTTCAAGTTGTCACTGGAAAAAAGCAGTGACAAAACTCATAAGAGGAAATTATAGGTACCTTGTCTGATAAGCTGGCGACTATCAGATAAAATTGAAATTAAAACATGTGAATTCATTAATTTCCATCTGATTTCTTAATATTCCATCCTCTAATCCAAATATAGAGTTCAGTAAATATAGATGTTCTTGGGCCTTGCCCAGGAATTATAGGCAATAAATGACCTTCGACAGGTCTAGAGATTTGCAGTAATTGTATTTCTGTTGATTTCCATTAATCTATTAAAATGGACAGGTTTATCACTGTCCATTTTTGAATTTGAACATTGACTCTAAATTATGTAAAAGATAATATGAAAAAAAGAGATTTTTTTTTATTCTCTTATTTGCTCTTGAAGTGCAAACAACGGCAATACACGTCTTACACAAAAATTAATATAAAATTATGATAATTTCAATACAGACCAAAGTTTTTGCATCTTCAAACTGTTAACCTCAACACTGTCTGAAGGTTTGTCACAATTAGATCCTTTTGCAAAACAAGAAATCCTGAAGTAATCTTTCAATGTCAAGAGACACAACAATTTCAAACACTCGCTCAAAACCCTTAAAGGGTTTTTTATAACTCACTAATCCTGACATTTAAACAATGTTTAATAGCAGAGAAAGCTGCAAGAAGTATAATGGATTAATGCCCTATTTTCTCCAGTTACACACTGCCTGTCAGCTGGTTGAAAGGAGGTTTCTACATTTTGCATTCACTAGTAAATCCATCTGCTTCAAATATTTCTACTGTTAAACAAGAATACCGAAAGGGCTGAAAATAAAGAAACGAAACCTCTCACCTCCTTAAGTTAAGTCTGTATCTAAATAACAAGTGCAGCTACAGGACCATGTCTGTAAAGCAGCTAACATTATAACTATAAACATCAATGTGTACTATGACACACATTGGCCTAAATTGTCTCTTTTTTGTTTTGCTTTCATTCTTTTGAGAAATACTTTGACATTTTTTACTCAAGGTTATAGTAACATGCCTCAAAAACAAAACAGAGGGTGAGAAGCTCACTTGGTTTCCAGAATATTTGCAAAATAAACTCTTAGACTCCCAAACCAACAATTCTCTCTGCCCAAAAGGATCTGGATTTTCAAAGTACATATAAGGACACCACCAAGACTCTCTAGTTCTAGAGGCAAATTGGGAGACTATTCTTGTGTAGCATAATTCTGCAACAGGCATGTTAATTTTTTTTTTAAATTATTTAAACTCCAAACTCTTCACAGTTTCACTGAGTCAAACAGGACATCCTGCAAATGTTGAATGATTACTTTTCCAATAATAACTTTAAAACAAAGCTTATAACTCACTTTTACTCTCTTGTTATACTGCTGAACGTGATTTCCTTTTAATGTATTTACACATTTTCTTTTATGCCATCAAGATTTTATTGTTTTCTATGAATTCCGGTAAGTTCATTATTACTTTGTTGTGTCATTGTTTGCCTCTTTCATTTGAATAATTTAATCATTTTAATCGTTTCCTCCACCATTTTTTTCACAGCAGATAAATAATAATGACTGAATTTGATTTGTTTTTAATAACCAGACATTCAGTTTGTGGTAATATAGAAATAATGAACCAGGAAAGACCTGGCATGAAAGATGCTGCAGAACTGTGGATATCTGGCAAACTAATTATCTCAGCTTTAACTGCACGGCTGCACACACACGGTTCTTCCTCAGAAGGCTCGCTGCCTTGGTCTTATAACTGTCAGCTCTTTAACTTTTAATTTTACGTGCAAAATACTGTTGCATTGACTGTCGGAAGCATTGAGTGAGTTTGGAAAATAAAAACCTTAAAAGTGCTATCGGCAATTAAGACTTTGGTCGTGGATAACAGCCTGCCAATCTGTGTCCCCAGCTGCTTTCAAAGGAGGGCAGTCTTTTCCAAAATGATGCGGATTTATTTAATGAGTTCAAGTGAGAGATGGTATCAGAGGAAATAGAAGATTTGTGGTTAAAGAGTTTGACATCTGTTGCTGTGTCTTCCAAGCAAACTGCAGGGAAATAATTGCTGAAAAACATTCTTGTCACACAACTCCTCACTACCAACTCCATAGTTCCAACAGTCTGCAGAAGAGTCCAGAGATGCACCCTGGGAGAAGAAAGTACTGTAATCACTCCAAAACAGCCGCCTCTGATCTCGTTAAAGGCTAATTGATGTTCTATGTTAACGAGCTTTACCTTAATTAGTGGTATTAAAAGAACACTGGGTGGCACGTGTAGCTAGGGAAAAAAGTGGGGGTTCTGGTGGGCTGCAGGATTGAGGAAATAACCCACTAATGTTGCATCAAACACAAGATGAAAGGGCTGGAAGGTGGGAGAGTAAACCAGTGCAGAGGAAGTCACAGGTTGGAAAAGATGGAAAAGACTGAGGCGAAGAAGAGGCAGGGGTATTGGCAGAAGAAAAGAAACAAGCAAATGAGGGGAAAGAGAGTTGACGGGGGAGGATTGGGCTGTAAGCTTGAGGCTTTTCTGAGCTGAAGTCAAAGAATCAATGGGATGAAATTGATGAGGACCGTGGAGTTGGAGCAAACAAGTTCACAAATGTTGACTGTTCCTCACATTTCTCCAACCTTTGAGATCCAATTTCAATCAGCTTTCTTTTACCTTCATCATCACGCCTGCCGTCCACATCCTCGTTCTCCTCACATCTTCTCACCTCCCCTTCCCGCCATCCCCCTCTTACAACAGCTGGTACAGTACAGATCTCTGGGCGACCGTTCAGCAGAGAAGGGACACTGAAGGCAACCCTTCAGGGGCAGCAGTGCATGCAGTACACTGCTGCAGTACGCCTGCGTGTGCTTACAATTTCAAAAAGGGGGTTTGTGAGGGGAAATGATGAACTGAATAGATCATCCGGGAAGAAAACGGAGAATGCAACTCAGACAGATATGAAGGAAATAAAAACACATTTGTTTCAATTACAAATGCATCCAAAGGCCTCCCGGTGCAGGCCTATAAATTTGACATTGTCACTCTCAAGCACTGCAGTAAATCCGTGAGTAGAAACACTGTGCCTCTCCATTTCAACATCATCATGTTCTCCCTTGGTGGTCTTTACAGTCAAAAACACCTTTCTTCTTTTCTAATACAAGAAAATAAAATAAAATCATACTTTTTTGTCAAGGAAAACTTATTCTCGACAAACAACTAAAGTAAAATCTCTGTCTCTCTCTCTCACACACACGCAAACACACAGACTCCTGGTAAAATAAATAAATCGTCGGTTCCAGCTGTCTGAAGATTCTTCGGTGGCAACAGAGGGGATAACCGTGGGCCGCCATACGCCCAAATATTCAGCGTATCGGGATATAAATAGATCAAGAGGGTGGGAAAACTGATCGGCAATCTTGCAGTGGCTTTTTGAAACGAAGTACACATTCACGCACCAACACTAAGCACGCATGTGGAGAAAACAAGCATCAATTAAAACCTCCGCAGCAAAGTGAGGCATGAAAACTGTTGCCAGTTTTTCTCTTAAACTGAACCCAAACTCTGTCTTTTTTTTCTTTTTTTTTTTTAAGCAAACATTTCCAGAAAGACTGGATCGGTGCAGCCTCAAGGTTCTTTGGTGTGCATGATTAATTGAACTGCCGGTAAACTGTGTGCGTGAGCGTCTATCCCATCTGTGCCTGTGAGTTTTTCGGGCGCAGCAATGACAGAGGGGTCAAAGCCCCGGCGCGCCGGCCGCTTCCAACCTCCATCTCTCCATCAGAAGCGTCTCTACACACGAATGCCGACATCCGACTGCTCATTTATTCCATGTCTCAATGACGCGCAGCATCCTCTCACTGCCCGCGCCGCAATTAATCCAAAGCAGCAACAGCAGCAACAGCAGCAGCAGCAGCAGCAGCAGAGGGTCTGTGTGCGTGTTTGGAGCAAAAATGCGCACTGCAAATCTGAACCGGATCAAACAAAAATGTACTTACTGAATTTCACCAGCCTTTCCCCCCTCTCTTCCTGCGTCCCTCCATCCTTTTTCACATCCTTGCTTTTTGAGGTATCCGTTTTGCGGGTGTCCCCCACCGCCGCCGCCGCCTCCGCCACACGCGCGCACACGCACACTGACACGCACGGCGTGAAAATATATACCTGTATAAATATATATGTTCTACATGTATTCAATTTCTCCCGATCTCTCTCTTCACCTCTCTCGCTCCCTCTCTCCTCTCTCTCACACGCACTCTCTCCAGCTCTGCCTCTTTCCCTCTTCTTTTGTTAAAATTCAGTATATGCGCCCCGTCACCTAGCAACCGTCAACCTCCCTCTCTCCCCCTGTATCTCTCTCCTCCTCCCCCCTCCTCCCTCCCTGCCTCTCCATCTCAGGCGACACGTGTTGAATGCTAAACTTAGCGGTCCGGAATAAAATTAATAAAGGGATAGGACGCGCTCTCTATCTCCCCTCCTTTCTCAGTCTTCCTCCTCGTATCATAATGCAATATAAATATTTACTAGAACCACTCAGCCCTCTCATGCCCTCGCAGCGTCTCTCTGCATCCCCCCACCTCCTTCCTTCCCTCTCTCCCTCCATCCATCCATCACTAGCTCTCTCCCCGCATCCCTCCCTCACCGTCCTGCTTTTTTTTCTTTCTTTTTTTTTTGCCCCCTTCTTTTTACCGCTGCCTCCTATCGCCTCTTTCTGCTTCTCCAAGCAAAACGGAGGCGCCACACCAGCGTCTGTGGATCCACATGTGAGTGTCACCCAGGCAGATGCCTGGTGCGCCTTAGCATGGAGAGGTGCAGCTTCTCTTGCTTGCGTGCGCCTGTGCATGTGGATGGATGAATGGAGCAGCATGTAACTAGCGTGCCAATGCGTGCGCAGCTTGCAGTCAGCGCAGTGGAGCTGCAGTTCAGATTCTTGTAATTCTCATATTTCGGCAGCAGAGTTTCAAATAAACACAACCTAACTTTTCTTGTCTGTTTAGTGAGAGAAATGCAACAGGAGGTTTGTTGCTTGCGGCGTATTTTTTGCTTCTTTTCATCCAATGATCTCTGAAAGGAGAGTAGAGAAGTTGTGTTTGGTCTGAGATGTAGAAACTGTTATTCATCTGCATCAGTGGTTTTCAGAATACAAAATTTGAATGAAGCATTTGCAAGGTATGGTTGGTTTAAATATTATTTTACCAACATGTTTTTTTCTGACTAAAATAATCATTTTTGGAGTGCAGCAGAGTCCTGACTAGAACCTGACAGAATTTGTGGCCAAGCTTTACGCTGACGGTAAGGAGGCCTCCAAACATTCAACAACAGGCAACCAATTATAAGAATGGCTCTGAATACTCAGTAAATGTGACTTCTTGGTTTTCTGTTTTTAATAAATTTGTGAAAAACTCAAACTTCTTTCTACATTTTTGTGAATATTTGTGTGATTTTTTTTAAAGGAAAGACACTATTCCAATACTATTTGCAACAAGGCTCTAATCAAATTGTAAGTGAGGAAAAACTAATTTTTCATATCCACTGTATATCAGTTTATGTTTTTGTCAGGGCTGCATAAAAAAATATAGATATTTAATATAGTTATTTAGTATTTATTCTCATTGGTGTATAAATATTGCCAGACAATTTAAAGCCATTTTTAAAGTTGAGCTGTAAAGGAAAACTGAAGACATTTGAAAGAAAACTTTAAATTTAGTTTCTCTATTGTGCATCTTCCACTTTTGTAGTTGGATGAAAAGGAAAGTTCACTGATAAAAATATTCTGCTCTATCTACTTATGCAAATAATTGCCTTTATTTGTTTATGCTCTTCAAACAAGACTGTCCTTAGTACTTAAACCATTTATTTTCTGAAAAAAAAAAGAGAATGTCTTGTATCTTGACCAAGTATTTTTGATACGAATGCCAGATATTTTTGTGTAAAGACACTAACTTGAATTTTTAATGTTGATTTCACAGATTCAGTTATGTAAATTTACTGCACCACAGATTCAATTTATCTGTGTAAGCAATATTTAGAAAGCTTGGCTACACCCTAAGATCATTAATTTAAATCTACTGGTTGTGTACAATTATCTCAAAAGATAGAGAGAAGCAAATTTTAAAGCAATAAAACCTAAATCTGTGCCAATAATCAGTAGCTATGGGCTTCCCTAATGAAATGCTCAGTATTCTGCTAAAAATAATGACCAACAAGGAGAAAATTACAACGCAAAGCTTATCTGTGCAGATGTGTTTACAGTTTCCAAGAAAAAGTCATGCTTCCTGGGAAGAGTGTTTAAAGGTAAATCAAAACCCCAATTTAACTGTAAAAACATGTCAGCAAGATTTAGCAGTTTTAGCAATCTGGAATATTTTACTTTGCAGCACTTCCTACCAGAAGAAGAAAAAGCCTGTCTGCAGCCTCAGAGCAAAATTTACTTACGTTGGACTATCTCAAGAGCCAAAAATTTAATATCTAAGCAAATAGATAAAGTCTCAAGCAAAACTGCTCAGCTTTCACACGGCTAGAATCAGTATTCAGGAAACAAGAAATGCAGCAAAAAAGAACTCAAGTCAGGTAAAAATAAAAGACCTGATATGATCTTAAAAGAGATTTTACTCAAAACTGATAGTATGCACTGAGATGTTTACTTTAGGTCTTAAAAAAAATGTGAAAAATAATACTGTTACACTAAATTCAGGAAGGTTCATGTATGACAAGTCTCATAAGTGGAAGACAAGTGTAGATAATTAGTATTAATGTAAATTCAAATGGAAAGAACAACAAGAGGTAATTTTCAAAATTAGCTAACAAATGTATCAGTCGACAAATATGTATATACTATTGATTAAACAAAAGGAATTCACATTATCTACAATTAAAACACTTTAAAAAAACAAATTTGTTTATTTGTCAGTCTTTTCGAGTACCTCCTTCAGTCGAAGAGGGGATTGGAAAGAAGGGATGTGAAACCAGTCTGAACCATCCAGTTTTTAGTGCCACATCCAGCAGGCATACCAAGAGGCCAGATGGGGACCTCTAATAATCTCAGCATGGTACAGCAAAAACAAAGGCAACAACTGACATGTCTTTGAACCTATGATGCCATTTTTAAATAAGAGGGTAGAAGGTAAAGCTGTGATCGAGTGATAGATATTTAAAAATGGCCTAAAAATAAATGTTGTAATAGAAATCTTTATTACAGTATCTTGAAATATTACTCAATTACCTCTGATGTTAATAAATGAATTAACTGAAATATTTAATGGAAAACACAAGTGTGGAAAAAACTTGTATTTCTAATTTTCCACATTAACTTATTATTAATGACTTATGTTAAATGTTTATTTCGTCTCATCCTTTTTCTGTAGCAGAGACAAATTTACTGTGGTTACACAGGGCAGAACATAAAAGATTTATCAAAGATTAAAAAGAGAAACTCTTGAAGTGTTTTTTTAATGACTTTTGGTTAATTATAAGCATTGCTGCTGCCAAACAGCCACACACACAAGCAGCCACACACAGCTACTTTTTCACCTGGTTATTACCGACCTGAACGTTTTGTGATGGAGTGACGGCGCCGTGGGGAGAAAAATAAACGGCTGCTCGTTAGACTGCTTGTGCACTGATCTATGGTCAGTTTTAGGACTCAGTCCATATGGCAATAAGAGTTAGGGCGTAAGGCGTTGGAGCCGATCCGCTTGCCCCGTCCCAGTGATTAAGTTCCAGGTGTTACAGAGAGACTGGCGGCCCCCTGTTCCTGTGTCAAATGATTTGTGATAAGGGAGCCGTATCTGGTTTAGTGATGCGTTTGCTGTTGCTGCAGTGGCATTAATAAGCCAGATACACATCACCTATTCATATTTTCTGCCACAGTGAGATGGTGAAACCAGCTGTTGTGCTCTTCATATTTCTCTTGTTATCTGTATTTGCCACATGCATTCATCTTCATTTGCTTTCATCAATCAATTCATCATCACACGCTCTTCCCCCTTCCCTCCTGTGTCTGCTTGGCGTTGCAGTCTATGATGACACTGGAGTGGCGACATACGGTTTATGAGGCATGTGATGGTATGCGTCATCACTGTATTTACTTGAAGTCCGTATTGACACGCTTTTGTTGCATACAAAGGCTTACATTGTCTGAGAGCACTTATAATATTTACAGTGTGGGAACATTTTCTCTTCCTGTGATTAGGACAGGTTGGATGTATTGTTCAGGCACATTGCTTTAGTGGTGTGCATCTGCGCCTGACTGTGTGTGAAAGAGTGAGTAAGTGTTATTCAAAGTTTTATTTATGTTTGTTTTTGGAATCCGATGTGACTTGGTTCTTTGTCTTTCTTTAGTTGTGAATTTATTAACTCTGAGCTGCAAATCCAACAAGTAACTTTGTACATTCTTACAATCTCACAAACAAACCACACAAACATACAGCAATAAGATGTGAAAGATGGAGTGGAAAAACACTTGTTTTGCTCACTGACAATTTCATTTTCTCTTTCTTTGTTTTTTACTTTTTACATTGTTTCTATAAGGCACCATTATTTTAAAGTTGTAGGCACATGTACAGATACAAATGATAACTAATATTCAACCTGACCTGCTTTTATTTTGCATAGTCACATTATATTGTCCAATTTTTGGAAGATCCCTCAAAGTTTCTGTTTCAGGGAATTCAGACAGTTACAAGGTAGTGTGATCAAACAAATAAATTAAGCCATTGTCCCATAAAAGCATAAAAGTCTGAGTGATTTTTTTAACATAATTGGAGATTGAATATTTGTTGCCGATTTTGAGAGAACAATAATAGATACAATTAGTACAGACCAAGAATGTAAGAGAGGCCCATCTAAAATTTTATCTAAAATGTTCTTTAAAAAGGCTATTTCTAAATTTGTACACTACAACTATTATTCCTTGTAATAACTCTTACAATTAGGATGTTCTAAATATAAAAGTGGATGCCTGTACAGTCTTAAAAAGACAACAGAAGTTCATCTTTTATGTCAGATTTGTAAGACGAGAAATCTTTGTGTTCCATAAAGAACTCACAAAAGACCAAGAGTTTGCAATAATAACTACATAATGCTGCCACCACTGTACTCCGCATTAGATAGGATGTTCTTAGGTGTCCAATCTTCCTTCTTTTTAATCCAAATGTGGTCGTTATGGCCAAACATTAATTTTGACAGATTGCCACTCAACATGTCTCCAAAATCTTTACTTTTTTACACCTGCATGTATTTGCAGACTTTAATCTTGCATATGGAGTATTGTTTTGGAGTTGCCTCTCAGCCCATGTCAGTAACTGTGA